TCATAGTATTCTTTAACTTCACTGTACTGGCCAAGGTAACTGTAAACAGTTCCCAGATTGTTGTAACTTACACTGCTACGTCACCATGCTTTTTCGCAACCGTAAATCTCTTTTGTAATGATGAGAAACCTTCTCATAGTATTCTTTAGCTTCACTGTACAGCCAAGGTAACTGTAAAAACATTTCCCAGATTGTTGTAACTTACTGCTACGTCACCACGTACTTTTCCGTAATCTCTTTTGTAATGATGACCTTCTCATAGTATTCTTTAGCTTCACTGTACTGGCCAAGGTAACTTTAAACATTTCCCAGATTGTTGTAACTTACTGCTACGTCACCATGCTTTTTCCCCGTAAAATCTCTTTTCTAATAGTGAGCCTTCTCATAGTATTCTTTAGCTTCACTGTACAGCCAAGGTAACTGTAAACAGTTCCCAGATTGTTGCCAACTTTGCTACGTCACCATGCTTTCACCGTAAATCTCTTTTCTAATGATGAGCCTTCTCACAGTATTCTTTTAGCTTCACTGTACTGGCCAGGTCTGTAAACATTCCCCGATTGTTGTAAACCTTGCTACGTCACCCATGCTTTTCGCAATAAATCTCTTTTCTAATGATGAGAGCCTTCTCACAGTATTCTTTAGCTTCACTGTACTGGCCAAGGTCCTATAAACATTTGAATTGTTGTAACCTGCTGCTACGTCACCATGCTTTTCATAAGTAAATCTTTTCTATTGACGAGAGCCTTCTCATAGTATTCTTTAGCTTCACTGTTTTGGCCAAGGTAACTGTAAACAGTTCCCAGATTATTTGTAACTTACTGCTACGTCCCATGCTTTTCACCGTAAATCTCTTTTGTAATGATGAGCCTTCTCATAGTATTCTTTAACTTCACTGTACTGGCCGGGTAACTGTAAACATTTCCCAATTATTTGTAACTTGCTGCTTCGTGACCTGGCTTTTCTACCGTAAATCTCTTTTGTCATGATGAAACCTTCTCATGGCATTCTTTAGCTTCACTGTGCTGGCCAAAGGTAACTGTAACATTCCCAGATTGTTTGTAACTTGCTGCTTTCGTCACCATGCTTTTCACCGTAATCTCTTTTCTAATGATGAGAGCCTTCTCACAGTATTCAAGCTTTACTGTACTGTCCAAGTTTTCTGTAAACAGTTCCCAGGTAGTTGTAGCAACTTGCTGCTCACCATGCTTTTCACCGTAAATCCTCTTTTTGTAATGATGAGCCTTCTCATAATATTCTTTTAGCTTCACTGTACTGTCCAAGGTCACTGTAAACAAATCCCAGGTTGTTGTAACTTGCTGCTTTACGTCACCATGTTTTCACCGTAATCTCTTTTGTAATGATGAGCCTTCTCACAGTATTCTTTAGCTTCACTGTACTGGCCAAGGTTTCTGTAAACATTCCCAGATTGTTGTAACTTGCTGCTACGTCACCATGCTTTTCACCATAAATCTCTTTTGTAATGATGAGAGCCTTCTCACTTGTCTTTACTTCACTGTACTGACCAAGGTCACTGGAAGCATTTCCCAGATTGTTGTAACTTGCCACGTCACCATGCTTTTCTACGTAAATCTCTTTTCTAATGATGAAGCCTTCTCATATATTCTTTAGCTTCACTGTACTGTCCAAAGGTTTTGTAAAACGGTTCCCAGGTTGTTGTAACTTGCTGCTACGTCACCATGCTTTTCACCACGTAAATCTCTTTCTAATGATGAGAACCTTCTCATAATATTCTTTAGCTTCACTGTACTGGCCAAGGTAACATGAAGCAGTTCCCCAGATTGTTGTAACTTGCTACGTCACATGCTTTTTCACGTAATCTCTTTTGTAATGATGAGAGACTTCTCATAGTATTCTTTAGCTTCACTGTACTGTCAAAGGTTTCTGTAAAGCAATTCCCAGGTTATAGCAACTTGCTGCTACGCCACCATGCTTTTCACCAAATCTCTTTTCTAATGATGAGAGCCTTCTCATAGTATTCTTTAAGCTTCACTGTACTGGTCAAGGTAACTGTAAACAGTTCCCAATTTGCTGTAACTTTTGCTGCTACGTCAAAATGCTTTTCACCGTAATCTCTTTTCTAATGATGAGAGCCTAATCATAGTATTCTTTGCGCTTCTGTACTGGCCAAGGTAACTGTAAACAGTTCCCAGATTGTTGTAACTTGATGCTGTCACTATACTTTTCACCGTAAATCTCTTTTCTAATGATGAGCCTTCTCATAGTATTCTTTAGCTTCACTGTACTGGCCAAGGTCACTGTAAACATTTTCCTGGGCTGTTGTAACTTGCTGCTACGTCACCATGCTTTTCACCGGAAATCTCTTTTTTGCTTAATGATGAGAGCCTTCTCATAGTATTCTTTAGCTTCACTGTACTGGCCAAGGTCTGTAAACATTTCCCAGGTTGTTGTAACTTTGCTGCTACGTCACCATGCTTTTCACCGTAAATCTCTTTTCTAATGATGAGAGCCTTCTCATAGTATTCTTTAACTTCACTGTACTGTCAAAGGTTTCTGTAAACAATTCCCAGGTTGTTGTAACTTTGCTGCTACATCACCATACTTTCCCCGTAAATCTCTTTTCTAATGATGAGGGCCTTCTCATAGTATTCTTTAAGCTTCACTGTACTGGCCAAGGTCACTGTAAACAGTTCCCAGATTGTTGTAACTTGCTGCTACGTCACCATGCTTTTCACCCGTAAATCTCTTTTGTAATGATGAGAGACTTCTCGTAGTATTCTTTAGCTTCACTGTACTGTCCAAGGTTTCTGTAAACAATTCCTGGTTATAGCAACTTGCTGCTACGCCACAATGCTTTTCACCGTAAATCTCTTTTTCTAATGATGAGCCTTCTCATAGTATTCTTTAAGCTTCACTGTACTGGCCAAGGTAACTATAAACAGTTCCCAGATTGTTTGTAACTTGCTGCTACGTCACCATGCTTTTCACCGTAAATCTCTTTTTCTAATGATGAGAGCCTTCTCATAGTATTCTTTAGCTTCACTGTACTGGCCAAGGTAACTGTAAACAGTTCCCAGATTGTTGTAACTTGCTGCTACGTCACAATGCTTTTCACCGTAAATCTCTTTTCTAATGATGAGAGCCTTCTCCTAGTATTCTTTAGCTTCACTGTACTGGCCAAGGTCACTGTAAACATTTTCCAGGCTGTTGTAACTTGCTGCTACGTCACCATGCTTTTCACCGGAAATCTCTTTTGTAATGATGAGCCTTCTCATAGTATTCTTTAGCTTCACTGTACTGGCCAAGGTCACTGTAAACATTTCCCAGGTTGTTGTAACTTGCTGCTACGTCACCATGCTTTTCACCGTAAATCTCTTTTCTAATGATGAGAGCCTTCTCATAGTATTCTTTAGCTTCACTACTGTCCAAGGTTTCTGTAAACAATTCCCCAGGTTGTTTGTAACTTGCTGCTACGTCACCATGCTTTTCCCCGTAAATCTCTTTTCTAATGATGAGAGCAACTTCTCATAGTATTCTTTAAGCTTCACTGTACTGGCCAAAGGTTGTAAACAGTTCCCAGATTGTTGTAACTTGCTGCTACGTCACCATACTTTTCACCGTAAATCTCTTTTGTTATGATGAGCCTTCTCATAGTATTCTTTAGCTTCACTCTACTGGCCAAGGTAACTGTAAACAATTCCCAGATTGTTGTAACAATGCTACGTCACCATGCTTTTCACCCGTAAATCTCTTTTCTAATGATGAGAGCCTTCTCATAGTATTCTTTAGCTTCACTGTACTGGCCAAGGTGACTGTAAACAATTCCCAGATTGTTGTAACTTGCTGCTACGTCACCATGCTTTTCACCGTAAATCTCTTTTCTAATGATGAGACTTCTCATAGTATTCTTTAGCTTCATTGTACTGGCCAAGGTAACTGTAAACAGTTCCCAGATTTGTTGTAACTTACTGCTACGTCACCATGCTTTTCACCGTAAATCTCTTTTGTCATGATGAGAGCCTTCTCATAGTATTCTTTAGCTTCACTGTAATGGCCAAGGTAACTGTAAACATTTCCCAGATTGTTGTAACTTACTGCTACGTCACCATGCTTTTCACCGTAAATCTCTTTTCTAATGGTGAGAGCCTTCTCACAGTATTCTTTAGCTTCACTGTACTGTGCAAGGTTTCTGTAAACAGTTCCCAGGTAGTTGTAACTTGCTGCTACGTCACCATGCTTTTCAACGTAAATCTCTTTTGTAATGATGAAACCTTCTCACAGTATTCTTTAGCTTCACTGTACTGTCAAGGTTTCTGTAAACAGTTCCCAGGTAGTTGTAACGTGCTGCTATGTCACCATGCTTTTCACCGTAAATCTCTTCTCTAATGATGAGCCTTCTCATAGTATTCTTTAGCTTCACTGTACTGGCCAAGGTCACTGTAAACATTTCTCAGATAGTTGTAACTTGCTGCTACGTCACCATGCTTTTCACCATAAATCTCTTTTCTAATGATGAGAGCCTTCTCATAGTATTCTTTAGCTTCACTGTACTGGCCAAGGTCACTGTAAACAACTCCCAGGTTGTTGTAACTTGCTGCTACGTCACCATGCTTTTCCCCGTAAATCTCTTTTCTAATGATGAGAGCCTTCTCATAGTATTCTTTAGCTTCACTGTACTGGCCAAGGTCACTGTAAACATTTGCCAGATTGTTGTAACTTGCTGCTACGTCACCATGCTTTTCCCCGTAAATCTCTTTTCTAATGATGAGAGCCTTCTCATAGTATTCTTTAGCTTCACTGTACTGGCCAAGGTCACTGTAAACATTTGCCAGATTGTTGTAACTTGCTGCTACGTTACCATGCTTTTCACCGTAAATCTCTTTTCTAATGATGAGAGACTTCTCATAGTATTCTTTAGCTTCACTGTACTGTCCAAGGTTTCTGTAAACAATTCCCAGGTTATAGCAACTTGCTGCTACGCCACCATGCTTTTTACCGTAAATCTCTTTTCTAATGATGAGAGCCTTCTCATAGTATTCTTTAGCTTCACTGTACTGGTCAAGGTAACTGTAAACAGTTCCCAGATTGTTGTAACTTGCTGCTACGTCACCATGCTTTTCACCGTAAATCTCTTTTCTAATGATGAGAGCCTTCTCATAGTATTCTTTAGCTTCACTGTAGTGGCCAAGGTAACTGTAAACAGTTCCCAGATTGTTGTAACTTGATGCTACGTCACTATGCTTTTCACCGTAAATCTCTTTTCTAATGATGAGAGCCTTCTCATAGTATTCTTTTAGCTTCACTGTACTGGCCAAGGTCACTGTAAACATTTCCCAGGCTGTTGTAACTTGCTGCTACGGCACCATGCTTTTCACCGGAAATCTCTTTTGTAAAGATGAGAGCCTTCTCATAGTATTCTTTAGCTTCACTGTACTGGCCAATGTCACTGTAAACATTTCCCAGGTTGTTGTAACTTGCTGCTACGTCACCATGCTTTTCACCGTAAATCTCTTTTCTAATGATGAGAGCCTTCTCATAGTATTCTTTAGCTTCACTGTACTGTCCAAGGTTTCTGTAAACAATTCCCTGGTTATAGCAACTTGCTGCTACGCCACCATGCTTTTCACCGTAAATCTCTTTTCTAATGATGAGAGCCTTCTCATAGTATTCTTTAGCTTCACTGTACTGGCCAAGGTAACTGTAAACAGTTCCCAGATTGTTGTAACTTGCTGCTACGTCACCATGCTTTTCACCGTAAATCTCTTTTTTAATGATGAGAGCCTTCTCATAGTATTCTTTAGCTTCACTGTACTGGCCAAGGTAACCGTAAACAGTTCCCAGATTGTTGTAACTTGCTGCTACGTCAGTATGCTATTCACCGTAAATCTCTTTTCTAATGATGAGAGCCTTCTCCTAGTATTCTTTAGCTTCACTGTACTGGCCAAGGTCACTGTAAACATTTCCCAGGCTGTTGTAACTTGCTGCTACGTCACCATGCTTTTCACCGGAAATCTCTTTTGTAATGATGAGAGCCTTCTCATAGTATTCTTTAGCTTCACTGTACTGGCCAAGGTCACTGTAAACATTTCCCAGGTTGTTGTAACTTGCTGCTACGTCACCATGCTTTTCACCGTAAATCTCTTTTCTAATGATGAGAGCCTTCTCATAGTATTCTTTAGCTTCACTGTACTGTCCAAGGTTTCTGTAAACAATTCCCAGGTTGTTGTAACTTGCTGCTACGTCACCATGCTTTTTCCCCGTAAATCTCTTTTCTAATGATGAGAGCCTTCTCATAGTATTCTTTAGCTTCACTGTACTGGCCAAGGTTACTGTAAACAGTTCCCAGATTGTTGTAACTTGCTGCTACGTCACCATCCTTTTCACCGTAAATCTCTTTTGTTATGATGAGAGCCTTCTCATAGTATTCTTTAGCTTCACTCTACTGGCCAAGGTAACTGTAAACAATTCCCAGATTGTTGTAACTTAATGCTACGTCACCATGCTTTTCACCGTAAATCTCTTTTCTAATGATGAGAGCCTTCTCATAGTATTCTTTACTTTCACTGTACTGGCCAAGGTGACTGTAAACAATTGCCAGATTGTTGTAACTTGCTGCTACGTCACCATGCTTTTCACCGTAAATCTCTTTTCTAATGATGAGAGCCTTCTCTTAGTATTCTTTAGCTTCATTGTACTGGCCAAGGTAACTGTAAACAGTTCCCAGATTGTTGTAACTTACTGCTACGTCACCATGCTTTTCACCGTAAATCTCTTTTTGTCATGATGAGAGCCTTCTCATAGTATTCTTTAGCTTCACTGTACTGGCCAAGGTAACTGTAAACATTTCCCAGATTGTTGTAACTTGCTGCTACGTCACCATGCTTTTCACCGGAAATCTCTTTTCTAATGGTGAGACCCTTCTCACAGTATTCTTTTAGCTTCACTGTACTGTCCAAGGTTTCTGTAAACAGTTCCCAGGTAGTTGTAACGTGCTGCTACGTCACCATGCTTTTCACCGTAAATCTCTTCTCTAATGATGAGAGCCTTCTCATAGTATTCTTTAGCTTCACTGTACTGGCCAAGGTCACTGTAAACATTTCTCAGATTGTTGTAACTTGCTGCTACGTCACCATGCTTTTCACCGTAAATCTCTATTCTAATGATGAGAGCCTTCTCATAGTATTCTTTAGCTTCACTGTACTGGCCAAGGTAACTGTAAACAGTTCCCAGATTGTTGTAACTTACTGATACGTCACCATGCTTTTCACCGTAAATCTCTTTTCTAATGATGAGAGCCTTCTCACAGTATTCTTTAGCTTCACTGTACTGGCCAAGGTCACTGTAAACATTTCCCAGATTGTTGTAACTTGCTGCTACGTCACCATGCTTTTCACCGTAAATCTCTTTTCTAATGATGAGAGCCTTCTCATAGTATTCTTTAGCTTCACTGTACTGGCCAAGGTAACTGTAAACAGTTCCCAGATTGTTGTAACTTACTGCTACGTCACCATGCTTTTCACCGTAAATCTCTTTTGTAATGATGAGAGCCTTCTCATAGTATTCTTTAGCTTCACTGTACTGGCCAAGGTAACTGTAAACATTTCCCAGATTGTTGTAACTTGCTGCTACGTCACCATGGTTTTTACCGTAAATCTCTTTTGTCATGATGAGAGCCTTCTCATAGTATTCTTTAGCTTCACTGTACTGGCCAAGGTAACTGTAAACATTTCCCAGATTGTTGTAACTTGCTGCTACGTCACCATGGTTTTTACCGTAAATCTCTTTTGTCATGATGAGAGCCTTCTCATAGTATTCTTTCTCTTCACTGTACTGGCCAAGGTAACTGTAAACATTTCCCAGATTGTTGTAACTTGCTGCTACGTCACCATGCTTTTCACCGTAAATCTCTTTTCTAATGATGAGAGCCTTCTCACAGTATTCTTTAGCTTCACTGTACTGTGCACTGTTTCTGTAAACAGTTCCTGGGTAGTTGTAACTTGCTGCTACGTCACCATGCTTTTCACCGTAAATCTCTTTTGTAATGATGAGAGCCTTCTCACAGTATTCTTTAGCTTTACTGTACTGTCCAAGGTTTCTGTAAACAGTTCCCAGGTAGTTGTAACTTGCTGCTACGTCACCATGCTTTTCACCGTAAATCTCTTTTGTAATGATGAGAGCCTTCTCATAATATTCTTTAGCTTCACTGTACTGTCCAAGGTCACTGTAAACAAATCCCAGGTTGTTGTAACTTGCTGCTACGTCACCATGCTTTTCACCGTAAATCTCTTTTGTAATGATAAGAGCCTTCTCACAGTATTCTTTAGCTTCACTGTACTGGCCAAGGTTTCTGTAAACATTTCCCAGATTGTTGTAACTTGCTGCTACGTCACCATGCTTTTCACCGTAAATCTCTTTTTGTAATGATGAGAGCCTTCTCATAGTATTCTTTAGCTTCACTGTACTGGCCAAGGTCACTGTAAACATTTCCCAGATTGTTGTAACTTGCTGCCACGTCACCATGCTTTTCACCGTAAATCTCTTTTCTAATGATGAGAGCCTTCTCATAGTATTCTTTTAGCTTCACTGTACTGTCCAAGGTTTTTGTAAACAGTTCCCAGGTTGTTGTAACTTGCTGCTACGTGACCATGCTTTTCACCGTAAATCTCTTTTCTAATGATGAGAGCCTTCTCATAATATTCTTTAGCTTCACTGTACTGGCCAAGGTAAACTGTAAACAGTTCCCAGATTGTTGTAACTTACTGCTACGTCACCATGCTTTTCACCGTAAATCTCTTTTCTAATGATGAGAGCCTTCTCACAGTATTCTCTAGCTTCACTGTACTGGCCAAGGTAACTGTAAACATTTCCCAGATTGTTGTAACTTGCTGCTACGTCACCATGGTTTTACCGTAAATCTCTTTTGTCATGATGAGAGCCTTCTCATAGTATTCTTTAGCTTCACTGTACTGGCCAAGGTAACTGTAAACATTTCCCAGATTGTTGTAACTTGCTGCTACGTGACCATGGTTTTACCGTAAATCTCTTTTGTCGTGATGAGAGCCTTCTCATAGTATTCTTTCTCTTCACTGTACTGGCCAAGGTAACTGTAAACATTTCCCAGATTGTTGTAACTTGCTGCTACGTCACCATGCGTTTCACCGTAAATGTCTTTTCTAATGATGAGAGCCTTCTCATAGTATTCTTTAGCTTCACTGTACTGTCCAAGGTTTTTGTAAACAGTTCCCAGGTTGTTGTAACTTGCTGCTACGTCACCATGCTTTTCACCGTAAATCTCTTTTCTAATGATGAGAGCCTTCTCATAATATTCTTTAGCTTCACTGTACTGGCCAAGGTAACTGTAAACAGTTCCCAGATTGTTGTAACTTGCTGCTACGTCACCATGCTTTTCACCGTAAATCTCTTTTCTAATGATGAGAGACTTCTCATAGTATTCTTTAGCTTCACTGTACTGTCCAAGGTTTCTGTAAACAATTCCCTGGTTATAGCAACTTGCTGCTACGCCACCATGCTTTTCACCGTAAATCTCTTTTCTAATGATGAGAGCCTTCTCATAGTATTCTTTAGCTTCACTGTACTGGCCAAGGTAACTGTAAACAGTTCCCAGATTGTTGTAACTTGCTGCTACGTCACCATGCTTTTCACCGTAAATCTCTTTTCTAATGATGAGAGCCTTCTCATAGTATTCTTTAGCTTCACTGTACTGGCCAAGGTAACTGTAAACAGTTCCCAGATTGTTGTAACTTGCTGCTACGTCACTATGCTTTTCACCGTAAATCTCTTTTCTAATGATGAGAGCCTTCTCATAGTATTCTTTAGCTTCACTGTACTGGCCAAGGTCACTGTAAACATTTCCCAGGCTGTTGTAACTTGCTGCTACGTCACCATGCTTTTCACCGGAAATCTCTTTTGTAATGATGAGAGCCTTCTCATAGTATTCTATAGCTTCACTGTACTGGCCAAGGTCACTGTAAACATTTCCCAGGTTGTTGTAACTTGCTGCTACGTCACCATGCTTTTCACCGTAAATCTCTTTTCTAATGATGAGAGCCTTCTCATAGTATTCTTTAGCTTCACTGTACTGTCCAAGGTTTCTGTAAACAATTCCCAGGTTGTTGTAACTTGCTGCTACGTCACTATGCTTTTCCCCGTAAATCTCTTTTCTAATGATGAGAGCCTTCTCATAGTATTCTTTAGCTTCACTGTACTGGCCAAGGTCACTGTAAACAGTTCCCAGATTGTTGTAACTTGCTGCTACGTCACCATGCTTTTCACCGTAAATCTCTTTTGTTATGATGAGAGCCTTCTCATAGTATTCTTTAGCTTCACTGTACTGGCCAAGGTAACTGTAAACAATTCCCAGATTGTTTTAACTTGCTGCTACGTCACCATGCTTTTCACGGGAAATCTCTTTTCTAATGATGAGAGCCTTCTCATAGTATTCTTTAGCTTCACTGTACTGGCCAAGGTGACTGTAAACAATTCCCAGATTTTTGTAACTTGCTGCTACGTCACCATGCTTTTCACCGGAAATCTCTTTTCTAATGATGAGAGCCTGCTCATAGTATTCTTTAGCTTCATTGTACTGGCCAAGGTAACTGTAAACAGTTCCCAGATTGTTGTAACTTACTGCTACGTCACCATGCTTTTCACCGTGAATCTCTTTTGTCATGATGAGAGCCTTCTCATAGTATTCTTTAGCTTCACTGTACTGGCCAAGGTAACTGTAAACATTTCCCAGATTGTTGTAACTTGCTGCTACGTCACTATGCTTTTCTCCGTAAATCTCTTTTCTAATGGTGAGAGCCTTCTCACAGTATTCTTTAGCTTCACTGTACTGTGCAAGGTTTCTGTAAACAGTTCCCGGGTAGTTGTAACTTGCTGCTACGTCACCATGCTTTTCACCGTAAATCTCTTTTGTAATGATGAGAGCCTTCTCATAGTATTCTTTAGCTTCACTGTACTGTCCAAGGTCACTGTAAACAAATCCCAGGTTGTTGTAACTTGCTGCTACGTCACCATGCTTTTCACCGTAAATCTCTTTTCTAATGATGAGAGCCTTCTCATAGTATTCTTTAGCTTCACTGTACTGTCCAAGGTTTCTGTAAACAGTTCCCAGGTTGTTGTAACTTGCTGCTACGTCACCATGCTTTTCACCGTAAATCTCTTTTGTAATGATGAGAGCCTTCTCATAATATTCTTTAGCTTCACTGTACTGGCCAAGGTAACTGTAAACAGTTCCCAGGTTGTTGTAACTTGCTGCTACGTCACCATGCTTTTCACCGTAAATCTCTTTTGTAATGATGAGAGCCTTCTCATAGTATTCTTTAGCTTCACTGTACTCTCCAAGGTTTTTGTAAACAATTCCCAGGTTATAGCAACTTGCTGCTACGCCACCATTCTTTTCACCGTAAATCTCTTTTCTAATGATGAGAGCCTTCTCATAGTATTCTTTAGCTTCACTGTATTGGCCAAGGTAACTGTAAACAGTTCCCAGATTGTTGTAACTTGCTGCTACGTCACCATGCTTTTCACTGTAAATCTCTTTTCTAATGATGAGAGCCTTCTCAAAGTATTCTTTAGCTTCACTGTACTGGCCAAGGTCACTGTAAACAGTTCCCAGATTGTTGTAACTTGCTGCTACGTCACCATGCTTTTCACCGTAAATCTCTTTTGTTATGATGAGAGCCTTCTCATAGTATTCTTTAGCTTCACTGTACTGGCCAAGGTAACTGTAAACAATTCCCAGATTGTTGTAACTTGCTGCTACGTCACCATGCTTTTCACGGTAAATCTCTTTTCTAATGATGAGAGCCTTCTCATAGTATTCTTTAGCTTCACTGTACTGGCCAAGGTGACTGTAAACAATTCCCAGATTGTTGTAACTTGCTGCTACGTCACCATTCTTTTCACCGTAAATCTCTTTTCTAATGATGAGAGCCTTCTTATAGTATTCTTTAGCTTCATTGTACTGGCCAAGGTAACTGTAAACAGTTCCCAGATTGTTGTAACTTACTGCTACGTCACCATGCTTTTCACCGTAAATCTCTTTTGTCATGATGAGAGCCTTCTCATAGTATTCTTTAGCTTCACTGTACTGGCCAAGGTAACTGTAAACATTTCCCAGATTGTTGTAACTTGCTGCTACGTCACCATGCTTTTCACCGGAAATCTCTTTTCTAATGGTGAGAGCCTTGTCACAGTATTCTTTAGCTTCACTGTACTGTGCAAGGTTTCTGTAAACAGTTCCCGGGTAGTTGTAACTTGCTGCTACGTCACCATGCTTTTCACCGTAAATCTCTTTTGTAATGATGAGAGCCTTCTCACAGTATTCTTTAGCTTCACTGTACTGTCCAAGGTTTCTGTAAACAGTTCCCAGGTAGTTGTAACTTGCTGCTATGTCACCATGCTTTTCACCGTAAATCTCTTTTGTAACGATGAGAGCCTTCTCATAGTATTCTTTAGCTTCACTGTACTGTCCAAGGTCACTGTAAACAAATCCCAGGTTGTTGTAACTTGCTGCTACGTCACCATGCTTTTCACCGTAAATCTCTTTTCTAATGATGAGAGCCTTCTCCCAGTATTTTTTAGCTTCACTGTACTGGCCAAGGTTTCTGTAAACATTTCCCAGATTGTTGTAGCTTGCTGCTACGTCACAATGCTTTTCACCGTAAATCTCTTTTCTAATGATGAGAGCCTTCTCATTGTATTCTTTAGCTTCACTGTACTGGCCAAGGTCACTGTAAACATTTCCCAGATTGTTGTAACTTGCTGCCACGTCACCATGCTTTTCACCGTAAATCTCTTTTCTAATGATGAGAGCCTTCTCATAGTATTCTTTAGCTTCACTGTACTGTCCAAGGTTTCTGTAAACAGTTCCCAGGTTGTTGTAACTTGCTGCTACGTCACCATGCTTTTCACCGTAAATCTCTTTTCTAATGATGAGAGCCTTCTCATAATATTCTTTAGCTTCACTGTACTGGCCAAGGTAACTGTAAACAGTTCCCAGATTGTTGTAACTTGCTGCTACGTCACCATGCTTTTCACCGTAAATCTCTTTTGTTATGATGAGAGCCTTCTCATAGTATTCTTTAGCTTCACTGTACTGGCCAAGGTAACTGTAAACAATTCCCAGATTGTTGTAACTTGCTGCTACGTCACCATGCTTTTCACCGTAAATCTCTTTTCTAATGATGAGAGCCTTCTCATAGTATTCTTTAGCTTCACTGTACTGGCCAAGGTGACTGTAAACAATTCCCAGATTGTTGTAACTTGCTGCTACGTCACCATGCTTTTCACCGTAAATCTCTTTTGTAATGATGAGAGCCTTCTCATAGTATTCTTTAGCTTCACTGTACTGGCCAAGGGCTATGTAAACGTTTCCTTGTGTGCTGTTTATGTTCGCTCTTAACAATTTGTCTTCCTTGAAATCATTAAGAAAATGTATAAAATTGCAGATTGACGTACTAAAACGATATGCATCCGACGGGGTACTAAGGTCACAGCAAACATCAGCGGCTAAAAAAAGCCACGAAACTAACTTTCTAGGGTTGATTGAAGTTAGGAATACTTTTGATTTAGTGAAATCGGTGTTAACAATTACGTGTAATACTTTACAGTGACTCGTAATTACACGTAACTTAGCAAACGCATGCTTACTTGAATGTAACCGATTTCTGTTCTCCTCCATTAAAGAGTGAAAGATCTCAATAACATCAGAAATGCACTTAACTCTATTTGTTGAATCAATTTTAGATGTTATAATTAACGTGAGCACTTCATGAACGATGTTGTGCATCCTTATAAAGGTATATGAGCCGTCTTTGTCGTGTGAACAGGACAATAAGGAGGCTTTGAAAATTTTAGTTTTGATCAATTCTTCTGTTTGCCCAGTGATACGTAATTTAACAAAGTCAACAGCAACTTCCATCGGAAGAGACTCAGGTGCGCATAGAGAAAACAAATACAATACTTCTCGCAGAACGTCATCACTTTCTAAAGCTCTCATAATTGCCATTTGAATAGCAGTAGTTGTTGTTTCGGAGTACGCTATGTTCTGGTTTGCAAGAAGTTTTTCTGTCGCTTCACGTTCGCCGTGGGAAAGTGCTTCCAAGTAGTCTTTCCAGTGGAAGTTCGCAGAACCACTGACCACAATGGTTTGTACATAAAAGGCAGCAGCTGCTAAAGCAAGTGGCTGATACTCGAGAACTTCAGCGACTTTTTCATCTTGGTTCTGATCCTGAATCTGAGATACTTGTCGTAATAGGTTCACTGCGTCATCGGGATGCATTCCATTGCTAAGAGACTCATGGTAAATAAGTGGAGCATTGAAGGGTATTGAGCTGCTATCTTGAGTAGTTATTAGCACCTGACCATGGCCCCATTCTTCACTACCGGTCGGAGGCAGATCCTTACAAACCAGTGACAGGTCAAAAACATTATCTGCAATTATCAACCAGTTGGAGAAATGCTTCGTCTTTGGGTAAATGACTCGCTTTAGATACTGGATTTTTTGTCTTGGGTTCTCCTTTGTAGAAGTCTCGAGGTTGGTGAGAGTGTATTCTGTTATTCCCAAATGTCTTGCCAGACTAGAATAGGAGTCTGCAAGTGAATCTAGCGTTTCTGCATTTAGGGTTGCAACAAATGTAAGACGGTCGTTTTCTTGCAACCTCCTATCGAAAATGTCTTGTCCCAGTTGTCGAGCTAATTGGCTTTTTCCGCAGCCTGGAATACCTGATAGATAAATAGTGCTGATAGCTCCATTACTTTCGTTGTAAAGCTCGTCCAGTTTTTTTGTGATTCTTTTGACATCACTTGATCGTTTGATGATTTTATGTGATGGCTTGAATGTCAGAGTACAGAAAGAGTCGACTTTGGAATTGATTTCCTGAGTAAGTGTTTCTACTTCTTCCTGTTTTGTTTGTAATGTGGCTTGGGTCGACTGTAATTCCGAGGTAAGATTTTTGTTTTCTTGTTCTTTGGTTTTCAACTCAGCTTTAAGATTATCAGCCTGCATTTTAAGGCTGTTTACTCGAGTTGTTGGAAAGTCTGTCTGGTTTTTTATATCATCAACTTCATTTCTTGGAAGCTTCAGTGAATTAAAAGCAGCTAACACTCTTGCTACGTAATTATGGAATTCAGCATCAGTAAGTTCAACCTCGTTCAAGTGAGCGATATCATTTCGAACTTGTCTGAGATCGTCAACTTCTTTTCTGACTGCGGGACTAAGAGTACTGCCAATGCAATCCGAGTACAAAATAGCAACAAATAGGCAACTGCAATCCCACTCAGCTGTGTTTCCCCTTTGTATTGTCGCCAAAAGTCGCGCATTCTTTGTGTGACTCTTTCGTGATTCTTTGTTGTAGAAATCGCGGCCATTTTGTGAAATATCTTTCCATTCCCCAAACGGCGTTGTCTTGTAAAGGAAATCCCACTCTCGTTTGAAGACTTTTCGAAGCCCTTGGGGAACTAAGTTGAAGGCGATGTAACATGCTCTGAAATAGTTTAATTGCTCCAAAGTGTACTCCATGTTTGATTGGGATCTAGTAAAAAATGTGCCAAGGAAGAACATCAGGTATCAGTAGATTATTTCAGAAAGTATTTCAAGTCAAAGATACGGGAAAAAAAATCGTATCCAGCCTTTATCAACTGCCAAACTTCTGCACTCCATAAGTCTGCACAGAAAAAAACATTTTCTCCTGGAATTTTTTTTTAAAGAAAGCTCTTGATGAGCTTTATTCAATCGTCAAAAAATTGCAAATCTAGAAAAATGATGATTTTTTACCCTGGATGATACCTTAATATGTCAAAGCACAGCAATAGAAAAATCAGAATAAACTAATTGAGGAATAGCTTTCCTCTTTTATGCGTCATGCATTTACAGTTTGTATGAAATAAATCGCAGCTCATTTCCACGCGAGCGAGCACATTTCCCATGTGCAACGCTTTCTTTCCAGTTCGTCGTGTTCCCTCGCAAGAGGCACTCGATATAAAGCTTGTAACGCGGGGCTGCCAGTAAAACGGCCAATCAAAACTCGATACATTATTTTTAGTGAAAAAACCGTATTGTGATGTTTCTAAACTTAATACAGTTAGCAACCGCTAAGTGACATTCACAAAACCGTAGAATGTCAACGTCTGTACTGCATTCTCCAAATTTGTGACCGCAAACAGCTAACATATATTATTAGTACATACACATACATACATACATACATACATAAACTTTATTTATCCTCGGATTTTAGTGTAGCTTACATAGCTAGTATCTCCGATCCTAACTAATTTTAAAAGTTACAACATATATAATATAATATTAATTAATGTAGTATTAACTAAAACTGTGCACTAACAATTTGCGCCTAAATTCACTATAATCTACAGTCTTTCTAAAGTGATCAGGTAGAGAATTCCAGTACTTAACAGATGAATAGCTAAAGGAATTTAGACCATATGTGGTTGTAGACGGCTTAGGAAGTGATAAAATATTAGTACCCCGTAGGGAGTAAGCAGTAGATCTTAACTTGATCAGTTGTTTTAAATAGCACGGATATTTACCAAATTGGAGACATTTGAATATACAAATCATCATATTTTGTATCCTCTTGTTGGCTAAACCACACACACCAGCCTTGTCTAGAAGAGCATCATAGTTCGAGTCCCAGTCCTTTAAAACAAATCTTAAAATACGTCTATTTAAGGTGTCCAGTTTGACAGAATCTTCTGAATTACAAAAGTGCCATATCATTGAACAGTAGTGAAAATGGGGTAAGATAAACGCTTTATAAAGGCGAAGCATAATTTCGGATGAGATAAGTTTGCCAAATCTTTTGAAGACACTGAACTGATTATTTATTTTTTTGCATACAGAGGATATGTGATCCTTGAAATTAAGTTCATTGTCTAGAGATATTCCAAAAAGATCCAGGCATCTTGTGGTTAAAAAGGAGAAAGGGTAATCGGTTTTTCCAAGAACCATCCCGTGATGTTTAGCAGGGTTTGCTTTCATCCGATTGTCTTCGAACCATTTATTTGCTATTTGTACATCATGATTGATCCGCCGTTCCAAGGCCACTGGGTACACACTCAGTGATCTTGGTGATTTAAGCAATCTGATTGGTTCGTTATCTCGGACTATTCAACAATATTCACCTCCTAGCGAGTGGATAATGTGTGAGGCCGGTGTTTTTCCCATTTTTTTAGAGAAAGATCTTTTAAAAGTCGACAAAATCCTAGGGTTGACTTTTTTAAGGCAAGAAAAGACTTGTAAGGATTCAATACGGCGTTTTTCAATTTACTGTAGCTGAGGTTTGTGCTCGATGGATTGTTTTTGTATTCGCGTAGAAGAAGCCGTTTCGTGAACTCAGCGTTTTTTAACAGAAAACTTTGGCTCAAAAATCGAAGTTTATTTATGACAAACAAATTAAAAGGAAATGTTTGCAGTAATTCTACGTTTCAAGTAAACAGGAAAAAGAATGATAGAGGAAGACGGCGTCTAACCTCGAGCAACCGAGCCGCCATTTTGTCGTCAGCATTTCATGCGAAGAACGACACAATAAACCCTTTTGGCTGTAAACTTTGCGAGTCAACAGAAAACAGCAAAGCTCTACTTTTCTTCTCAGGTAAGGAAACAGTTCAAACTTTTAGCGGGTTCCATTTAAGCCATTACGCTGTTGTTTGCGAAGTGATAAACTTGTGAATTGCCATGTTTGAACATTCTACAAAGATCTAATTTTAAACTTTCGCGTGATTTGATCTGTCAATCAAATCGGGGAGCAATGGTGGCGCAGTGGTGAGAGCACTCGCCTCCCACCAATGTGGCCGGGGTTCAAATCCCCGCGTCGACGCCACATGTGGGTTGAGTTTGTTGTTGGTTCTCTCCTTTGCTCCGAGAGGTTTTTCCCCGGGCACTCCGGTTTTCCTTCTCCTCAAAAACTAACATTTCCAAATTCCGATTCGACCAGGAATCAGGTAGACGAAGAACCACTTTGTGGATGTGATACCTGCAATCGTTATTTATTTATTTATTTATTTAAATCGTACCTTTTAATGGTTTCCTCTCTGATTTTGTTGAGACCACTTCGTGTGTATATACTAAAACAATTATTCTTTGAAATCGAGGTGAATAGTGGCTGTAATAATTGTTAAATGTACATGTATTTTCAGATGGTTAAACTGAGGTAAGTCGCTGGTTATTCACTGCGCATTTCTTACTGCGCATAACAAGATTGCCGCCGTGAAAAAGAGCATCAGAAGTAACATTATTAAAATGAAGTTGACTGAAGAGAAACGCTTTTGGAATTTTCGCTTGCGGTTGTTTCTTTCCGAGATGACACTTTGTATGTTGGGAATGTGAGTTCGACTTCCTCAGGAGAACCTTGATAGTGTATGTTAGACTTGTGCTAACTCACTTTGGTTTTCATTTTAGTGCCATCTTTATCACATTGCGTCCTAACTGTGATATGTTGATATAAATTCTGTATGAAAAGATTTTTCAATGCTTTCTTCCCCTTCCTTTCATACATGCCATTTTAAAACTCGCCCCAGTCCTCGCTCAAAAATCGGAGGAACTGCATTTGGGGGCACTTTCTGCAGCTCTATCGCAAAAACGAGTGCGATGGCCCCTATTTTTTATTTCATGATTTTGATAAGAACAGTGCTTCCTTTCAGTGAGAAAAAAATGGTCATAAATCTTTGTTTAGGTTTTTAGCAGTTTTACTAAATTGTACGGATTGAGCTATAACGGGTCGAATAGCGCGTGTCCAAATTAAGTCTGCTACTTTAGAGCGTAAAGTAAAAACAAGGGCATTAAAAGGCATTTTTATTGTACGTAAGTAAGTCGATAAACAATTCATTTAACTCAAATTTAGCCTGTGAACAGGCTCTCTGTTTGGGAAAAAATAGCGAGGAAAGGGAGGGGGGAGAGAGCCCTTTTCGCTTTTCCCTCTCCCCAGTTCCCCGCTCGACGAAAGGCCTGTTCACAGGCTGACTCAAATTCTGTGCGATACCACATGCATCACCGACAAAAATATATCCTTTTTGTCTAGTTTTGGGCTGCGCGCGGTTTTTGCCAAAGGGTCCTAAATAGCCGTAATTGTCAGCATTGTGACGTGAAAACGAGCAGGGTGACCCCCACTTTTTATTGCATTTTTATCATCTCCTTGACTTGTTACATCAGTGTGCCAAGTTTCATCTACAATCTATGTTAGATTCTATCGCTAAGGAATCACTTTAAGTCGCATAGGGCGCACCTAATTAATAAACGCCTTTTATGCGCAGGAATCTCATTAACTTCCGCAGGAATATATTAATGCCCATGGCGTCATAGCTTCTTGTCTTTATCTCATGAATATAGTGCTGCGGAATCTAATTAAGATAAGGTCGTGTGCTATTTTAAGGTGGTTTAACCGGTTTGACAGGTTTTCTAGTTACTTCAAGGTCGATAAATACCTTGGTTTTCGGTTGGGTGATTAGAAAATAAGAAACGTTTTCATTGGTTAAAGATGGGAAACCAAAAGAAATACAGTTAAACCTCTCGGTACGGACACCTCTCTATTACGGACAGTTCGTTGGTCCCAGAAATGCCAAATAGGGTATCATACATTGCCTACCTCTATAATACGGACACTTCTGTAAAGTGGACACTTGGTTCTGTCCCTTTGGTGTCCGTATTAAAGAGGTGTGACTGTATGGTGGTGATGGTGTAGGGAAAACAATAGAAATGTAGTGGTGGTGGCGGCTGTGAAGAGAAACAATCGAAATGTGGTGGAAGCGGTGGTGGTGGTGGTGGAGGGAAAACAATAGAAATGTGGTGCTGGAGAGAGAACAATAGAAAAGTAGAGGTGATGGTGCATGAAGGGGAAACAATAGAAATGTATTATGCGAATACCGTCAATCCTTATTAGTACGGACACCAAAGGGACAGAACCAAGTGTCCACTTTACAGAGGTGTCCGTATTATAGAGGTAGGCAATGTATGATATTTTTGGCATTTCTGGGACCAAACGAACTGTCCGTAATAGAGAGGTGTCCGTATTATAGAGGTGCCCGTACCGAGAGGTTTGACTGTAACGATTATTTTGGCCGGACATTGTCTCTTGGCCGAGCGTTATTTTTAGCCCCGCAGCACAACGTCAAAGCTTGGGTAAAGCTTTACTCTTATCCCCTTCCCCCCCACCCCTCACCTACCCTACATCTCTTGCTCATAAGTTTTGTACTATGGTAGGTTCGTTCAGGGCATAAAAACCTCAATTATTTTTGCATTAATTGACATATTTTGTACTTACAAGGATGTACATCTTTCCAAGTCTCTTTTGTAATAACAACAAAAGCGACTTGGAAGGACATATATCATTGTAAAAAGAGTCTAGAGGCTAGTCTTGACCCAGTGGCAGGTGCAAATATGCACATATCAACTAACTGTGCACTGCCCAGTTAGTTCTGTGAAGGTCTCGTAAAGTCCAGTAATCGTTAGGTCATCCATCATACTAACTAATCACAAGAGCTCAGGCACTTGATATATAATGCCGTTATTCGTTGGTTATAAAGCCCCAGGGGTTTATAGCCCTAATGGGTCATACATATTGTGGAATATTACATTATGTATTTCCCATGATTTGTACTAGTACAGTATTTTATAAGATTTGTGAAACGCGTTTTGTAGTAATGCCTCCCTGTATTAGTGAAAATTGATCTTTAAAACCAGCCTTAAGCTCGAAAACTTAACTCAAACATGTAACCCTCCTTACTTAACTTACATACCTCAGAACTATTATAATTATTACTATATTAATTTCATTTACTCTGTTTTTAAATTTCTCCCTTCACCATTTATTCGAACTTCTTTGGATCACCAATGCAGAGTTTATAATGAGTTTATGATGAGCGCGGACGGCTGGCTACCCAACAAACACGGTGCTTCACGTAATAACGACATATGAACTATTTTCTTGAATATTTACCTGTGCGTAGCAAGGGTTTCCGTGTGAGTCCCTTGCACGAACTTTGGCAAAACTAAATCTTTGGCAACGCAGGCTACGGATACGGTACTCTGACAGTTCTGAAACACGAAGACACCGTGTTAAAGTATGGGGGTTTGGAAGTCACGGGATTTCATAGATGAGGCCTTCATAATGTTTTATTCCCTTCTATATGTAAATCGCTAGAACTGTTCATGTTTAAACACTATGCGACAACCGCTGAAGGTCCCTGTGATATCTAATGTGTGCCGTTTACTCGTTTAACTGTTTTTTTCAATCGATTACTTAGGGAACCAGTCAATTACAGATAGAAACATCTTCTAAAAATGTATTCTCAAACAAACCAGTACTGAAGGCCGTTGAAATTGCTAAGTTTATGGCATTACCTGATCGTCGAGGGCGCATCTGAATGATCAGAGAGATAAACTTCGAATTCAGAGTAACTTTTCATCTAAATCCTCGTATTTACGTTTTTAAGACATCTTTTCTGTTCTGTATTCTTATCGATTCATAGACACTGAAAATAACCGAAAGTAAACTGGGATGTGAGCATCGCATTTAATTAACATTTGATCAGTTCAGCGTAAAATTTTCGCTTCCAAAATGCAAACTTGCGATTTCACAAAGTTTTCCGTCCCTTTGTCTATAGAGCGTTGACTTATCAGGGAAGGAATTTTCAGTGAAATTGCAAGTGAGATTAAATTATAACCTAGTTTCGGCTACTGACTTGACCTCCTGGGAGTATGATCGAGGTATAAAGAGTGCTTTCTTGAATATTTAATGAGGATTTTTAGCGGAGCTGTCGCGCGCGCGAAGCGCGCGCGCAGCGGAGCACCATGGGTAAGAAAATTTGGTAAACTACCCATCAGAGAAAATTTGGTTATGACGTAGCGTACGCCCACCCGGACACACACTTCATGTGAGCCGATGTCAAATGTCACAATAGATCTTGCACAACTTGACTAGCCTCTTAGTTATGTAAGCCATCCACATGAGGACGATTAGATTGACAGCTGTCAAAGTGAGACATCCGCTGACAATTATCACATGACCATCTCACGGGCTCATATGAAAGGCCAGTCGTTTTGTCCCTACATGTAAGCTGATATAATATGTCACACTTACCAATTCAACATAAAAAAGGAAACTACGCCGGGCAAGGCTGTCAGTTGGCTGACAGTCGTTTAAAGTTATATTGGCAAGCCAAATTGAGGTCAATTAACAGCTGCCAAAATGGGACATGTGCAGACCACTATCAGAAAACTAATGACGTGGGCTCAGGTTCGCCCAGGTACACGATCTGGCATTTTCCACTACATGCCGGACGGATATGTCTTACTCACACTCGTAGTCTGTTAATTGGAATATTCGCCATTCTAATGAAGTTTAATTGACAGCTGTCAAACTAGAGTATACGTTGACCATCATCACCTGAGTGTATCGCGGGCTCATTTTTCTATCCATTAAGGTCACGTAGTGTTTAAAGTTTTGCACTGATATTTTATTTGATCACGGGCTCAATTCGAAGCCCCATAGCTTAGAAAATCTATCCATCTTAGAGAATTCGGCAATCACGTGACCGTACACTGACCACCCAATGTTTAATCTCACACTTTCTAGCTAGTTTGGGAGCCTGCAACCTGATATTGTTCATCCATGTTTTGATTAATCGACAGCTGTCAAAATAGTGTTTCTGCTGACCAGTATCGCCTGACCGTATCGCGGGCTCAGGTATCGACCCACTGAGTTCGAGTGTTTTTTTGAAGGTATCCACTGACAAGTTGATATTTTTCAAATGATCGCAGGCTCAAGTTCAATTTTTTTAAAATGCATATGAAATAAGTCGTGTTCATGAGCAGCACTTTTAAAATGTTGATTTCGAACTGACTTCGGACGCGAAAATTCAACCGGCTTTTACATTACATGTAGGGAAGGCAATCGCTTTTGACTTTTCTCACTGTCACGCGTTGATCACGCTCTACGTCCAATTCTTGTGTTCTGATTGGTCAAAATTTGACAGGTGAGTTCACGCGGAAAATTTATGCAGCGTCTGGAAACTTGCTTACTGTATAGCTGGAGCTGACAGAGTTTTGTCCGGGAGTTTTGTCTCATCTTGTGATGTTTTAAACTGGCTTTTTCTACTTGGTGTACAAAATGAAATACAGCTGCTATCAAGATTGTTCTGGTTTGTTTATTGCGCTTTTTGTTCACAAATGCACCGCTCGTCAAAGTCATTGGAAATCCGATTTCGGACGGCATCGTTTTCAAAAATGAGCTTACTCACTTGCCCTTGCTTGAGGCGTAAGAGGGTTGAAAAGTCTCAAGCGATTCTGGAACACTTGATGACCTTCAGAAGCAGCATCTCGACTGGTAAGCCTGAGCAATTATTGTCTTTGATGTGTTTCTTTTTTTTTTCGGTTTCCTGAAGTCGAGCGTATGGTTTATGCGGCTTAAGTTTATACACGAGCAATGATCTAACCTACAATAGTATTAGGTTTAAAAAGCCTTTATACATTTTTTGACCGCAAATTCAAAGAAAAGGTTCCGAAGATTATTTAGTTATGATTTTGGCTGTAAACAGAAAGCTCTGAGCGATTTTCTTGCCTCGAGTTGATCTTGAAAAAGAGCAAACACCGGGAGCCGGCTTAAAAAATAAATAAGCTTATGCGTACCTGACTCCACCTGACTCATGATTTTCAGAGACACTTTACTCTCAATAGTTCTCTTCGTGAATGAAAATTGTTGTCTCTGTACATGTTTCACCGAATTATGTTTATTTTATTGATTGTTAGTAGTCTCTCTCGCAATTTTTATCGCTGCACCGGTTGTTTCCAGTCGAACATAAACATCGCATGCAGGAATACTCAAAACGCCGCCCGTAAATATCACTCGCTTTTAAAGATTACAAATAACAAAACCATACACAGTTTACTAAATAAAGGGAAATAAAACCTAAACATAACAATTTCTCTATCACGTTGAAGCGTAAATGGTAACTGTATTAGTCGCACTGCAAATTTGGTGCCTGTCAAAAGTGAGAACCCGTCCGGCTGGCCAAAAAGTGATTTGGGGAATTTTTTTTATCGTTTTCATTTAAAGCCCGTAATTATTACCTTGCATATCATATAGGACCAGATTTTTCTAACTGAAAAGTCCCGGCATTATCTGAGAATTCTCTTCATGACAACGTTTTATAATTCAATGCTATAATTTGTTGTGCAAAGGAAGCGCGTGCTTTGATCGTCGTGGATATTGAATGAGTGCAAATTCTCTTGCAAAATTGTGAAAAACTGCCGAATTATAGGTTTAAATAGGGCAAAAAAGAAAAAATTCTGTCTGAGGTCTGTATGATAAAAAAGGGCGTCAGAGTACTGTTTACCTGAGACGTGATGAGAAAAAGTATGTTTATAAGGCTGGTTTACACGCCACCAGATTCGTCGCCAAGATTTACTAGTAAACTAAACTTGTCGAACACAAAAAGTCCGGCCTGATTTTTTATTTTGGCCTCTCTTTTAGACAGAGGAATGTAAATTGGCTGCCACCAAGGACTATCGTGGCGCGTGTGTTTCTTAAAATTATATTTCGGGGTTGTCCAATTATTCATAGTCTCTCTAACGGAGCAATGTTGAAGAAACTGGTGAATGCCACATTATGATGCAACAGCTAATGCAAATACAATACATGAATAGGTCTATTTGTTTTCCAGGCCTAATCTACTGTGATCGAACATGATTGCTGTTTAAGTAATGGTCCAGATAAGAAGGAAAGGACCAAAACGCAGTGAACACGTTGGAATGCAAAAAGGTGCTAACTTTACTATTGTCTCTACTAAGGTTCTGATTGGTTTAAACATCAAATTTTACGAAATCTTCGCAAAGCAGCATGTACATTAATCCCTTTTTTTCTATCCAACTTCCTTATAGCAAAATCTCGTCCGAGTCTAAGTAACACAGAAATCGTATGCGCGGATCATGTAAAATTGTGAACATTTCTTGGCCTTTGTTTGCAACTCTTGTGATTGGTCGAAATGTTTTAACACAAAAATACAACCTTTAAAAGTGGAGTTTAAATACATTTTCTTTCGTAAACAGCCTTTTTGTAGATTTATGCACTCTCTGCGTAAAAATGAAAACATTTCTATGTGAGGAAAGCGTATTGCGCCACAACAAAAGAAATTGCTTCCCTTCTTACGTGGATCATTACTTAATAACTCGATGTAAAATTTGTTTCACTCTTGGACTGTCTAATTATTTTTCTCTAAAATCGCTTAGCCTTTGCCTCAAAAGTCAAATGAATGTGCCCTGATCGGTGGTTGCAAGTTTATTGTTTGATTTGAATTATGAATTTATAAACGAGAGCTTCGCTTTTAGCCCTGGCTAAATCTATATATTACTTGTTCTCACAGTTCAAAAGAAACGAAGTACTAGCTCAAAACGGTCAATAACTGAAACACACCTCAGACTGCACTGAAACTGCTAAATTCATAATACCCCTTGATCTCCGTGCATATCTAACAGACCTAACAAGATCTAAACACATAATCAGAGATAAAATTCGGATTAAATTTTTGCTTCAAATGTACTTACGTTTTTAACACCTTTCAGTCGTCGTCCTACCGTCTGTAATCGAGGCGTGGTCAGATGATTAGAGAGGTGCGAAAGTAAAGTGCGATGCCATCAAATCTCTGAAGCTGTACTGCTATGGCGTTGACTAATCAAGGAACTTTCGGGGAAACTGGAAGTGAAATTAAATGTGCTATCGACTGATTATGACCTTGCTACGGCTGACTAACTTGACCTCCTCTGACTGAGTCTAGGGGAGGAAGGTACTTTCTTGAATGGGTGTTTTGAAAGGTATACGCGCGAAAAAGAAAAAAAGAAGAAGAAAACAACCTGATTTTAGGGCTGTTTTGTCACCTTATAAATGAGAAAATTATTACTAAAAAGAGCACATCTCTGATTATGGATACTGGCGATATTGGCAAATTTTCCCCAGTCACACCTCCCTCACTCCAGAATGAAAACAAGGAGGGCTGTTCTTAATGTCACATGATGACTATATGGACTTTAGAACAATTAAC